GGTTATGCCGCCCCGGGGAGGAGGCAGCGGCATCGTGGGCGGAGCACCCCCGCCGTCTAACGGGAGCAGGGGAAAGGGCCTGGTACCCGGTCGGTAGCGGGGCCCGGAGCACAAGGCTCTGGCAAAACCGGTGCTGCGCTCCACCCTTCCCGTGGGAGCCGGGACAGAGCAGTGGCGGAGCAGAAGAGTTTTTCACCTCTTTTGTGCCAGAGCTCCCTGGGTAGGTCGGTAGAGGCGGAGAGGAGCCGTCTGCGTGCCTGGCTCTGCTTTTGTTTTGTTTTTTTGGTACAATGCTTAAATTGGTGTCTTGCTGCAAATGGAAATAACGCGCTTGTTTCATATCCACAATTCTTGGGCGTGCCATAAGGGCGTAAAATTAACAAAATTACAACAACCAAATAACAGGCAGTTGGATAACGCAACATTTTCACTGAAAACACGTTGCTTCAAAGTATCTTCAGTGGGATATTTGGAATACTTACTTACAGTCAATTAGTATAATTACATACGAATGGATTTTTTCTTTTTTTTTCATACTTTCTTATACATCAGGTGTTTCTTTTCATCAGCCAGTTTCAAGCAACCAATCTATTCTCACAAGCTTCATAAAAGTTAAACCCAAACTAGATCTAGCAGAGAAAGGCAGGCAGGTGTTAGCATTTGTAAGTGTGTATGTGTATACATACATAAACACAAACACAGGTGTACGTTTTGGTAGCAACTGGCCAGTCAGTGCGCACAGCCATTCGGCGTGCCTGTACTTCTCCAGACTATTTATAACACCTGTGGTGTTTTACTTAGCAGGATTATCACTGGAAGTCTGTGAAGGACTGAGCTTTGTGTACCACAAACAATGGTTTGTCTAGAAAATCACATCCTTCAAACTGGTAGAAGTGTTTAAATATAAGACCCCTAACAAACAAATAAAACTGTTGCTAGAACTTAAGTCTGTCAAAAGCTTTTGTCCAGATCATTTTTGAAAGCTACAGCAGAAACAGGATAGTCAGAGTCTTGTCATGACTGAGAAGCGAAGCAAAGTACACTGATTAAAAGTGTGCTAAATGGCAGAAACAAAAGGATAGGATTATCTTTTGTTTCATTTATCTTGGCAATAGGAAAAAGTAAATGTGTTTCAAGCAAAATATTAGGACAAATAGAATGGAAATAGGAAGGAAAATGTGTCATCAAATAGACTAAGCTTTCTACTTGCCTGGAATGCTGTATCCTGGAAAGGATCCTGCAGAATTTGAGGGAACTTCAAGATGGCATATCAGGATTTGGGGGGCTCTGGAAAAGTACAATGAAAGGATTTTTTTTTTTAAATTATGTATGACATAGGAAGAAAAATAAGCTATGATGAAAGTATACAAAACTCACAAATGATTTGTAGAAATATATTGGGAGTGTCTTCTTGTCACATAAAAAAGAAGAGCCATTATAAACAGTAAAAATAATCAAGTTTCTAAAACAAAATGGTCATAGAATCATAGAATCATTTAGGTTGGAAAAGACCCTTAAGACTATCGAGTCCAACCATTAACCTAACACTGCCAAGTCCACCACTAAACCATGTCCTTAAGTGCCACATCTCCGTGTCTTTTAAATACCTCCAGGGATGGTGACTCAACCACTTCCCTGGGCAGCCTGTTCCAGTGCTTGACAAGCCTTTTGGTGACAACCCAGTTGTCACAGAACGTATAATTAGGCTAACATTATTTCATGTTGTGGAGGTTAACAGCTCTAAGATGAAGGAAAAAGTAGAGATTTGTATAGGTAAAAATACAGATTTGTAATGCTAAGAAAAGTATGGAAAGGGATATAGGATTTCAATCTTGAGTTTAGCCTCAGTTTTAATTTTTAAAACTTAGGTTAAGATTTTCATTTTGTTTATCCTGTATGTGCCTTCTGCAGGATGTATTGCATCTTTCTCCAAAGCATCTAGTGCTAACCACTTCTGGAAACAGGAGATGGGACTAGCTGGGCTATGCTGTCATTTGTTGGCTGTCATCATGGCTCTTACTTCTGTCATCTGATGGTTCTGTGGGAGCCTGTGCAAAGTAAGCTGGTGTCCAGTTTCGGAGGTAGAAAGGACTGGGTGCAGCTTGGTTGTTTTCACAACTGACACCACTTCTGTGTCTGTCATTACTAAGTGACATGTTGGAAGTCTTTGCGATATGAATTTGTAGCTTCAGTCATAGTACCCTTAACCACATTAAGCTATTGGAATTTACGTTTACTCAGGCAGGGAGAAGGAGCAGATACAGTAGTAAAGCTTTCCTCCCTCCTGTGGAAATAGTCTCAGCAAATTAGGAAAGTAGACAATAGATGTACTTTATTTCTAGTTCTTATATAAAAACTATACCTTGTATCTAATAATGTTATATTATACGCTTATAAGTATATACTTGTACTAATATGTACTAATGTTAGGGGACAGCACATTTTTTTCTGAAAAATATGCATTGTTGTACCAAATTCACATTTTTAAAATGACTATATGAAAACATCCCCGTTCCTTACTTTGGAGAGCTGGTCACTTCAGGTGCACAGCAAAGCACAGAATGTAGTGTGAGCTAATTTACTTTGACAGAGTAAATTGGCTCACAACAGACTCTACTGTGTAATGCCACAGTTGTATCACCTCTGGTTACCTGTATACACTACTGAAGTTCATTCAAGTCTGTATTTTGCATTGATGTTTAGTGTTGTTTCACTTTTTCATGACTTGTTTTTACTTGTTTTCATTATTTGTTCTTAAGATTTGTAATAGCATTTTACAATTTTTATTGTTTTTTTTCCCCAAAGATCTTCAGTCTTGATCTTGGAGGTATATCTGCTATTGTACTGAATGGCTATGATGCAGTAAAAGAATGCCTTGTTCATCAAAGCGAAATTTTTGCAGATAGACCGTCTCTTCCCTTGTTTAAGAAGCTGACAAACATGGGAGGTGAGTGCTAATGTCTTTAATATAAAAATGTAGTTTTTGTCCAATAGATGGGTTTGTGATCACATGAAACATTTGCTTTAGCCGTTTTCTCTACTTCTTTATCTTCTTTCATAAAATACTTGATGCTTCTTTAAAGATATTGTTTGGAAAGGATTGTCACTCTTGGACTATGTTCCATAGCCAGATGTGTGTAATTTTTTTGTCTCGTTTTTTGTCTTGTTAAATAATTTTATTATCTCATGGGGGAAAAATAAAGCCTTGCATAAAATACTGTGTCAAAATATTTTTTCAGGCTTACTGAACAGTAAATATGGCAGAGGATGGACAGAACATCGCAAATTAGCTGTAAATACCTTTCGAATTTTTGGATATGGTCAAAGGTCCTTTGAACACAAAATTTCACAAGAATCTATGTTTCTTCTTGATGCCATTGATACATACAAAGGCAGACCATTTGATATTAAACACTTGATAACAAATGCTGTTTCAAACATTACTAATTTGATTATTTTTGGAGAACGTTTTACATACGAAGATACTGAATTTCAGCACATGATTGAGATTTTTAGTGAAAATATTGAATTAGCTGCTAGTGCTTCTGTATTTTTATATAATGCTTTTCCTTGGATTGGTATTTTGCCATTTGGGAAACACCAGCAGCTGTTTAAAAATGCAGCTGAAGTCTATGACTTTCTTCATGAGCTTATTGAACGTGTCTCTGAAAATAGGAAGCCTCAGTCACCTCGACATTTTGTAGATGCATATTTAGATGAGATGGATGGCAATGAAAATGATCCAGAATCTACATATTCAAGAGAAAACTTAATTTTCTCTGTTGGAGAACTCATCATAGCTGGGACAGAAACCACAACAAATGTTTTAAGATGGGCACTGTTATTTATGGCTCTTTATCCAAACATTCAAGGTAAGAACTTTGACATTTTGAGGAACTGATACACTTTCCTATTGGAAATTTAAAATGCTTTTTCAAAGTGGTGCAGTGATCCATAATCGTAACCAAAAAGGAAGGTTTGTATATATGATTCTATTGTATCATTTACCAAATATACTATGGACAGATGTGAAAAGCTTATTTTATATGCAGATGAAGAAGATATCAAAAGTCAAGTATAATGATAAAGTTTTAGCATATTATTTTGTGAATACATTTTTATGAAGCTTTAATATTTCTAATATATTTAAGTTTAGTGTTGTGATGCATAATATTGGTTGGCAGATGTACTAATCTATGTAGCTAATAAATAATAAACAAATAAAATTAAATATGAAATGGATAAATTAAAAATGTAAAAACATCAGCAAAAATGTAAATTAGGTTGTGGTTAACAGTTTAGGTAAAATTTCTTTTTATTCTTAAGTGCCTCAATTCACGAGAGACTTACGTATTATAGACGTATATATTTATACTTTTGGAAGAACAAAGATAGCATTTAAAAATAAAAATATGTTACGGTCATTCTGAAGTAAGACAGCAATAGAAGTTTGAATGTCAGACAAGACATTTTGTGCAGAAGTTTGGATTTTAGAAGTGAACAGTCATGTTTCTTGTTTCACTGCCTCCACTTTGCTTTTCCTATCAAAACCTTAGCAGTGCTTAGTTCAACTAGGGACTTTCAGTATTCGGAGAAAGAGCAGCCTAGATAACTTGTAAAGTTACTACTGATACTTTGACCAAAGAATATTGCTCTAACATCAATTTCACCATTATCATCATTTCAGAATGGGGATAACAACACTACCTGTAGCTATAAGGCTCCTGAAATCTGAAGTTCTGCATAGGAACCAGATCTCTTTATGTGTGAAAGATTACATTTTCTTCTTATGGTAGTAGGTGCATGACTCTATAACTTCTGATTTTCTCAGCTAGAGTAATTTTTTATTTAAGTTAGGTGGACAAAAAGCAATTATTATTTTAAAATCAGAGATCAAATTTTATATTTACATTTAAGGTAAATACAGCTTTACTTGAAAAAAATGAAAATTAAAATTGATGATAATGTATGTCAAGGCCTGACATGCTATAAACAGTGAAAATCATTCAGATTAAATAAAGAATTTAATGTCAAAGCTCTTTTGTTGCTGCTATTATAATTTTTTTAAGTCCCATATTCACTGAGCTGGTTAAAATATCTGGCGAAGCAAGCAGAACCAAAGTTCGCTCAAATATCTCCTGAGAGCCACAACTTCTTACATATTTTCTTATTTTCATTTACTGAACTGTTTTAGTTAGTTGATTAATTAATTGAACATGAGAAAATTGATTAAAGATTAAAAAATAGGAAAACTTTCTTCTAGCCTAGGATTAAAAGCAAGATCTAACAGGATTTGAGTTGTTAATTTTAAAAACTTTGAGGGACATACTTAAAAGAAATGTGTAGCTTCAGCTCACTAAGTACAGCTAATAACTTAAAGCTTAAAACTGCGATTGCTATTTTTAACCAGTCAGCACACTTCAGATGATTTAAAACAAATTTTTTAAAAATTTGTTTAAAGAAATTAAATGTTGCTTTTATGCTTCTGAGTTCCACTGATTCATCTATGTGCTTTACACAGTATAATAAGAAAATCTACCAAAAAAAGAAAAACATTTAATAAAATGAAACAAATAGAGTCTGATTTTTTAAGTTTTAGCATGCATATATACATTGTCCATATTTTAGTTAAAAATATATTAAGTGCCATAATTAGTCAATAGGATATATTTATGCTTTATATTATATAAAAAGCCTAAATGCAAAAAGGTCCACTTAAATCAAAGTTTCTGATCCGTGTGTCCTGGCTCACAAACAATATTCATATCTTAAAACAAGAACATCTTTATTCCTTCTCTATTAAGATCTGACCAAGATACTGGTTTTAAATAAAGATCAAGAAAACTTTGTAGTTTTGTGTCTCCTTTGCATTGGCTGATTTTGTAGAGACCACTCACCTAAAATAATTTTCTGATCTCAGATCTTGTGATATAATGAGTTTCTGAATTTGGATTCAAAATCAATTCATCTGGATAAAAATAAAAATTACTGTTACCTTCAATTTATTTAGACTTTCTCTGTCCAAGTATTACAATATACACCGATATACCACTACATCACAGAATGTACTTTCACTAAGCTGCTTTTCACCTCTTTATTTTGATGTGAAACATTGTCACTTCAGGTTGAAAAACCTGGTGATTCTGGTAGAATTTTTCTGCCATTGCCCAGATTTTCATTATTGGTTCCACATGAATTGTAAAAGTCCAACTTTGTTTTAGTTAGGAGCTGTCTGGCAGTTTCAACAAAGAAAGTGTATCAGGAAAAAGAAGAGGTAATTTGAATGCCTTTGAGATTATTTAAATAACCTGTGAACTTAATTTTAAAAACAGCTTAAAAAAAACCAGTGATTGAATTTGTTCCTTTTCAGTTAAATTCAGACTCCTGTCCCTCTTAACTCTCAGTGTGTTGTATCAGGCATTTTCAGTTTAAGAGTGAATGATTTTACATTGTGACAACTCTATAGAATCATAGCAGAATCAGACAAGGGAAAGTTCAAGTAGCTGATTTCAGTGTTATCTGTGTTCACTCAAGTATTTAATGTACTTTACCTTTGCAGTCTTTTGCTTGTTTCTTTAGTTGTGAAGAACTCCAGAAATAAAAATACACACAAGCAAAGTATGTTAAAACACAATTCTACTGAGAATAATTACTTTTGAAATGAAGATTACTGGTATATATGCTAGTAATAATTCCTACTAGCAGGATAAGGACTATACAGTCTAAATTTAAAAGCTTATAAGCTACTATATTTTATATAAGATATTTCATGTTTCAGTATCCTTTCAAAAGTATATATTTTTTATCTTAAATTAAAAAATAAAGGCTATTGCACAGTAAACATCAGCTTTTATTCCTGTTCCTAACAGGGCAAGTTCAAAAAGAAATCGATTTAGTCATCGGCCCAAACAAAATGCCTGCCTTAGAAGAGAAATGCAAAATGCCATACACTGAGGCTGTTCTACATGAAGTTCTAAGATTCTGTAATATAGTTCCACTAGGTATTTTTCATGCAACTTCCAAAGATACTGTTGTGCGTGGTTACTCTATTCCTGAAGGCACTACAGTCATTACAAACCTCTACTCCGTTCATTTTGATGAAAAATACTGGAGCAATCCAGAAGTGTTTTTTCCTGAGAGATTTTTGGACAGCAGCGGGCAGTTTGTCAAGAAAGATGCATTTATTCCTTTTTCACTAGGTAAGAGTGATTCCTTCCACTGTTCCTTTTCATAAATCTAGAGATGTAGAACATATAAGTGATGGCAATAAATCAGGAATGAACAGAATGATATAAAATATCCATAGTTCTGATGAAACAGCTATTTTAAAGATATTCAATATAATGTACTCTGGACATAACACATTTTAGCACATCTTTTATATAGATGAGCTCATTATTATATCTAAACAGAAAAGACAGCACAATATCTTGTTATCTGAGGAGTCTATACATTTCATATCATTGCAGTACATAAGTGTTATTAATTTCACAATTAATAGTCATTTGCTGCTAAAGTCATTACATACAGGTGATTTATACAACCAGCTTTCAAATTTCAGCACTTAGATCAGCACCAGAAATTGCAGATTTTATTCAGAACTAGCTTGGAGGTTGGCATGTAGCACTGTATTCTGTCCTGAGGAAATATTCTGGCGGTCCAAAATCATTATGGATTTGTCTTTTGATGCCTATAAGAGTGGATAATTTACCTTCCATATGATTATCAACCTAAAAAATTAGGTGTTCCGTATAAGCTAACTGCCAGGGTTACCTCTGCAGTCCATAGAAAGACATAGCTTTGTGTAGAGTGTGACTTAGTTTACTTACCTGGAATACTCTTTCTCCAAAAACTAGAAGGAGACAAGACAAGACAATTCCCTTGGAATAGATGCATGACATCTAAATGCCCGAAGTTAGATTTGATGAAGTCCACCTTTATTGTGTATTCTATTGTGTTTCTTTTTGCCTGTTTGACCTTACCAGTTTCAGATGTTGTTATCCATTCATCTGTGTCTTCCACAACCATATTTACTCCCTGTAACTAGTCATACATGGAATGGGAGCTAATATTTAAAGGCATTGTCTGGACCTGTTTCATATCTTTCTACTTACCAAGTTACAGTAATTGCCAGGTAATAATGACTGGCAGTAGATGTAATTAAGAAATAGTAGGGGACAAAGGCTGAAATTCATGGTATCATTTTTTTTGAAACATTTTCTGTCTAGATTGGCACTTCAAGACAAGATAAAGTAGCTAATAGCTTATCTAAATAAATTTGACAGAATTAGTTACAATGGCATTTGTGTAGTGAGAGGAACAAATTCTTTAAAATTGGTTTCTTGCTGTAAATTATCACCTATCCTCTGTTACAGAATACTACCACCAAATTCATACAGCTCCTCTTAGAACACAGAACTGACCATTCTTATTCATAATAAGAGTGAAAATTGTAATTGAACACATTTAAAGTATTTTCAAAACCTTTTCAATCCAGGAAGAAGACATTGTCTTGGAGAACAACTAGCTCGAATGGAAATGTTTTTATTTTTCACTTCATTACTACAACGATTTCACCTGTGTTTTCCTCATGGCGTGATTCCAGATCTCAAACCAAGATTAGGCATGACATTACAACCACAGCCATACCTCATCTGTGCGGAAAGACGGTGAAGAGAAGGGTCTAGATTGTCAGGTGGAGCACAATGCTCCAAGTTGCAGCTGAGGACCCACTTTGCCTTCTACTTCTAAATGTTTTCATGTCAGAAGAACAAAAATTTGAAGGACTTGCAGATAATTTCTGACTATTTATGCACAAGTTAATAGTTTCTTCTTACTTGGTTTTCACAAAAAAACCCACATCTTTTGTTTAAAGTTGATGTTTTCACTCCAGAAGTCTGTTTTGAATCTAACTTCTGATTCAGCTTTTAAATATTTAATTACTTAGCAAGCCATTTTACTTTGAAAGGATATTTTTATAAGCATGGAGAATATGGCTCAAGATGTTTATACTGTGATTCATCCGTGGAAATCTCATTTACATTATTCCAGCTAAGCTGTTCTCTATAATTCTCCATTAAATTTACATAGCTAAAAAGGTTTTAAAGGTATCTATTTAAATTTCTATAACTCAGAATAAACTATGTTTTCCAGCCTTGACAAACAAATTGTCCATTAAAGCATTTTAATCCTTCCTTCTCCTTGCCCTGTCTTCCCAGTTGGTCATAATTTTCTAGTGAATCAGATAACTGTGTGAATTCACTTTTAAGATCTTTTATGCTTGCTTCTCATTTAGTAACATATACAAAGTGTTCAATTGTTGCCATACTCCTGACAATTACAGCAATCTTTTCTGCCAGTTTATTGCATTTCCAGACACATGTCCTCCATTGCCTCCCAACACAAAGCATTATGTAATGATTAATCTCTGCCTAAGTAGTCTGGAAAAAAACAGGGTTTGTGTTACCAGAGTCACATGCAACTGTACTACAAGTCAAGAAAATAAGCTGCTCATGAGCCTGACCAGAGAAGAGACTGGGAGGAGGAGTGGAATAGGGTGGGAGAAACAGATTTTAAATGGATTTTAAGCACAAGTTTTAGGCATAACAGCTACTCTTGACTTTTGCCAGCTTCATTTTTTATTCTTGACAGCTATTGCTTTATGGTTATTGGTAGATAAAGATTTATGCGTGCAGGCCCTACAGGAGAACCTGATACTTTAAATATGCTATGTTCAGTCCCCACCCCATGTGGGGAGAAGTAGGGCCTCAGAATAGGGTTCAGAACAAAACACACACTGAGCAAGCGGCTACTTAAGGACAGGGCTGAATATTAGACCTTGCTTTTTATACAGCTCATGCTTCAACTTGGAGCTGCAGGAAAGTTCAAAGGCAGGAATTGGTGTTTTTCTGCTGACCTGATGTTTTCAGCTTATACTAAGCAGAAATACTTAGTTTCTTTTGAAATAGCAAAAGAGAAGGATCAAACAGAGCTAATACCAGTCCACTTACATAATAGCCTATTGACTTAAGATGCAGCAGGTCCAGATTAAATTATTTACTCTGTCTGAGGGTAGTCAGACCCACATGTCCCACAAAGAGCATCTCAAACACATGTTCCTTATGCTCCGAAGAGGGTGGGCAGGCTACTCCTCTTGCTGAGTAACTGCCTTTCTGTAGAGAAGATTTAAGATTCAAAAAGGAGAGGGAGGAGGTAAGCCTGATTGCTGTGCATTGGGCACACCATGAAAGCTGTGAATAAACCACTCCTAAGATACTGGCAAATGGTGGGGCTTAGGAGCCAAGACTGAGGCTTTTCTGGATACCTGCATAAGTAGATGTTGGGTGCTTGTGAAATGCTTAAGTAAAAATTGTGGAATCTACCAAATTTAGGTGCCTTCAGTATGAAGCAATACTGAACAGAAGAGTTCAGCGCTACAGTTCTGGACTCATGGTAATTCTTCCTATACCCCACCCTGTGCTCTTAGATCAGACAGCCAGAGTTTTGTTAGTATCTAGGCTTGCCTTCTGGGTTGCAAGAACTCTAGGACATCCTTTGGTTAAAACATGATTCATATAATCCTAATTGAAGTGGGGGGAGGATTAAAAAAATCAAGAACCAGTTCTTGCGGGGGCTTCACTCGGAATGCAGCTGGCCAGTGATAATTCCCTTTTGCTGAGGTATTTTGAGATCTAACTCCTGGCTAGTCTTTAATCCATTTAATGAGAACCATATTGATTATATGTCGTTCTGGTTTCTACATTAAAATGCCTTCTAAAAGCCTCAGAATATCAATCCAAACTTTTACCATTATCTGCCAACTTATGGTCTCATTTAAGCAATCAAATAGATTTGACAAACTGTCTTTTCTATAAATCTGTATCAGTATTAGTTATATTTACATATTTCATTCTGTATCAACTTTTTCATTATTTTCCCTCTGACTTAGAAATATCCTAATGATCCAATTTAATAATTTGAAATACTGACATAATAATAGTTTTTTCCTGTCCTCTGGAATTTTTCCATTGTATCAAGATTGATTAGTAATGAACATCCAGATATTCAGAATATTCAGCCAGCCAGATATTCAGAATTTCCTGGTGAGAGTTTTCTACAGCTGAAATATCTAGCATAGCTGGCCGCTATTTAACATTGTTTGGGGATTAAAGGTTGATACATTAACCAGTATATCTTTTTCTGGTTGTAGAATATAATTATGAAAAAAGATGTTAGTAATTTGTCGAGGTAAGATTGTTCCCATTTGCAGAAGTCTTTCCTATCTGGCTTTAAATGTCCTAATGTTTTGGATTAAAACAATGTGTCCAGATACTGATGGAAAGATTTCTTGAAATTTAAGTTGTAACCTCTCTGTTTCTGTATATTAATGCCATTTATTGCACTCTTGATTTTGCCATTTATTGCACTCTTGGTTTCACCATTTTCCTAAGTTTTATTCCCTCCAGTATTTACAGTCTTCTCATTTTTGTCTTTTGCAGAGTTAGCTCTTTGAATTCAAGCTGATAGTTTAGAACTGGAAGCACTGTTTCCACATACAGGTGTATCATAACCACAACAAGAAACTTTCACGTACCTTCTGTGTAACTCCACTGCCTTTCCCAAAGGCAGTGAAGAACTTTTTGCTGTAAACTACTAAAAATGCATATTCAGCTTGCCTTTGCTGCTCTCGGTCCCTGTACCATTTTGAATCATTCTTTTTTCTACTTTGTCCAGGAAAAAATCCACTTCAGCTTTTTTCCCTTCCTGTGAGATTATTGCAATGTTCTTTGCACTATTTTTTGGTCCTGTTCAGTATTTGCAAATGCATAGCAGTCTTTCCTAAGGAATAGGAATTTTAGGATTAAGACTTGATTTTATATTCTTTACTTAATTATTTTAATTTCTCCTTGAGCAATAACTAGTTGTCTTTTCTGAGTATAACCACAGAAATTCTGCTAATTGGAGGAGAATATAGTCAACTCACCATTATTAGTATTAGTTTACTATATCCCATTCAAAGGTCTTCAAAGCCAACTACAGTGTAATACCAGTAGGAAGATTATGAGCTCTGTATGTTTCTCCTACATCTCTTTTCTCCATCTTGGTTTTGTATACTTGATTTAAACCAGAAACTCTAGAAGTGGTTCTGTGCCTTTGCTCTTTCGTGCTATTTCTGTACCATGAAAATGGGTGCTTTCTGCCCTATTTCTCAGACACAGTCTATTCCTATATCTACTCCTAGACTTAAGTCCAGGCCCCGGGCAACGCATCTTGCTATCCTGCAGGAAATTCCCTTCTTAACACTGATGCAAGAGCTGCAGTCAGTACCACCATAGTATCTTAAATCCTCCTTTCTAAAACTCTATCCTTAAACTAAGTTTTTGGGTTAACCTTGCCAGCATCCCCAGAAACTGAAAAGGGAACACTACAAGCATGTCATACGTGACACAAAGAATGCCAAAGAAAATCTTACTCTTTAGCACTTAATTTCCTGACTCCACCAGTTTCTGTAATACTGGTGAACATAAGCTTAGTGTGAACCTAATAAATGCAGGAAGGTTCATTCATTTATGCCTTCAGAAATTAACTATACAAAGTGAGTTTTCACAAAAGTTCAAGAAAAATTACTGCTTTTCTGAAAGTAAATAGTTTGGATTTATTGTGATATATTCAGAATATGTTGTGAGAGAAAGACTTAGAGAATCATAATAATGCTTTTTTGTTAGTTTGCCAGTACGTACTAGAAATAGTTCAGCTAACTTGGACTATATGCCAGGATGTAGCTACATCTTTTTTCAGTGAACAATCTCTCATGTCTTAGATCTCAATTTCTCTTAATAAGGGAATGATAAAATAGAAACAGGGGAAAAGGAGAACGTTATAGCTGGTGTTTACAATATAGCATGTATTTTAATGTTATGTACACACTGTCGAGTGTGTAATGTTTTAACTGGGAACTAATAACTGTCCACAGAATTGGTCATATCATCTGGAAAATGAGAGAAAGTTAAATAAAGAGAAAAATTATAAATAGGGAAGAAAAGAGTAGATTGAAAGCAAAAAGACAATGTGTTCTAAGTTTTGCAATTATTTACAAATCATTAGGAAGCATGAGTGGTTTATCTGGAAAAATAATTACAGTTCTTTTGATGACATTTCTGGATTGAATTGGCAGAATTTTTCAGACTAAGTATCAGAAATCACTGTATCTGTTAGCAGCCAAAGTGCTATTTCAGACAGGAATTTACAAAGAGCTTGCTTCTTTTATCCTTAAACTAAATGTATCATAGAACTGTGGTAATTTTTAATTCTGTACAGAATCAGGGTTGGAAAGGAGCAAAGCTTGCTCATGTTTAGGATCTGTAGTGACTTAAGAGCTAAAATATGCCTGGAAGACGTGATCTCCCTTGTCCATGGCTTGAGTATCACTGCAGGAAACATGAACTGAACCTGCAAGGAAAATTGCCCTTTCATTGGGCAGAACCAATAGTTCCTTCTGCTATGGGGCCATGCCACTGTATTATGGGTAGAGGGAAATGCAGTGCCCAGGAGCCCTAGAAATCTTTAAAGAGAGCAAAGTGAATATGCTCTCTGTAGACCCAGAATAATTTAGGTTATGTGGGACTGTGACCTGGCATTAGCTGAGGGACCTTGCTTAAACAGCCCTGGAGATC